AGCGCCGCATAGGATTACGTGGAATGAGTGAGGTTGACAGGTGCCGTGGAAAAAAAAAACGTTGAAGCAAAGAAAATCTGCTAAATGACATTTTCAAGATGACTCGTTTTTTACGTTATTATAAAAGATTTTGATTTATTAGAAATTATATCACAGTGTAAAATAATTGATATCACAGGTAAAATTAAAAAAAAAACCTAGAAAGATGATAGAGTTTATTAAATTGTTATCCAAACTTTAACGTATAGACACAACCAAAGAAAGGTAATCAAGCTTTGTTCATAATGGCTGTCATCCATAATAAAACAAAATACAGATTAAGTACGTTCCGATTTAAAAACGCCTGTTGATGTTACTTTACAGTTAATTGTATCTATATTATTAGTTCATATCCACTACACCACTACAAGCCGCTACCATCAGCACCAAAATACCGAAAATCAAATTGGCACAAAATACAACGTCTTATAGCCAATCCATTTATAGAGGAATGAATAAAGAAAGAGAGAAAAAGACAAAGATAGAGGGACAAATATATTGTACTTTCTTTTACCATTAATTCCAAGAAACGTAATAATTACTGTGCTTAAAATAGATGAATAAACATGGAAACCACAATAATGTAGCAATTAGAAACGTAATCCCCGACCTTCGTAACTATTATATAAACAAACTATGGCGATTAACTATACTAATATTATAAATGCGAATGTTTAGACGGATGGATGGATGTTTTTTTGAAGCTATCTCCGCAACGGGTAAACGGATCTTGATGATATTTGGCCCAGATGTAGAACATAGTCTGAAAGAATACATACTACTTATTAAGTTTTTTTTTAATTCCACGCGGACGGAGATGTGGACGGAAACTAGTATACATATATAAAGAGTATTCACATAAGTTAATGCATGTCAAAGTAAATAAGCCGCATTCTTGCGTATAAAGCGTTTGCTTAAGTCTCCACTCAGATAGAATAATTGATTGGTTACTTGGTTTCACTTCCTTCTCAGTAAGTTTACGTAAGATGTGTCTATGACGTGATTTCTATGTGAACAATTTAAAGTGAAAACAAACCTAACAAATGAAGATTTTAATTATAAACTATCAATACTTTATCTATTATAACTTTTTAGTCGGTGGCTCAGGGGTTAAGCACTTGTAATCGGCTGATCCTGGGTTCGAATCCCACCACGCACCAATGTGTTTTTTTTATTTTAATATACATTTATCCGATGTTCTTACGATGAAGGAAAACATCGTGATGCAATCTACATATCTGCGAAGAAATTTCTTAGTATGAACCTGTACTTGGTCAGTGTGGTTGACTAAGGGGTAGTCACCCCTAAGTTAGGGTAGGCTCCACTCGGGCCGCGGACGAGAGCGAAAGCGTGCCCGTGGTCCCGTCCCGATGCGTTAGAGGAACAGAGGGGTTTAGTGGGTATGCCTCCGCTATGGAGGAGAATCCCACATAACTACCGCGTCCCCCCCGGGGCGCGGAGTATGCATAAAGCATTCCCCTCTGAAAAAAAAAGGGTAGGCTCCACTCAGTGGGGACGTATAGTGAGCTGATGATGAATATAGATATTACTGTTAAAAAGTCTACGGCAAATAAAATAATAAATTCTTTTAGGCGACGTAATTTGTAATCATAAAGATTTCAGATATTTCGTCAAATATTATTGTCGGCGCAATGAAAATAAATAAAACAATAATTTAATTCTCTCTGAATAAATTTGTATAAATAAATTCCTTTACCCGCGTGTTTTGTGAGCAATTACGGGGAAATCGTTTCGCTTCTATGAATTTTCCTTAAAATAATATTGTATTTGATTTGACATTCTCAAAAGATATTTTAATTGCGCGATTTATTTATAATAGCACAAACAAATAAGTCAATTAATAATCAATGACTAATCGTCGGTTTCTGAGACTTAAATCTCTATTTAAAATATATTTCTCTGTTTTGTAAAAGATATTAACATGGAATATGATATGTTTTATACAGAGATTTTGGTCTGAGAAACCATCGGTTAGAACAACTAGTAGTAATAGTATTAATTTAGTATTAGTTAGGAAACCTTCAGCAATAAATATATACTGAATAATATTTTATTAATTAATATATATGAGACGTCGGTGACTCAGGGGTTTCAACACTTGACTTGTATTCTGCAGGTCCTGGGTTCGAATCCCGCCATGTACCAATGTGTTTTTCGATTTCTGATTTCCATATGTACATATATCCGAAGTTCTTACGGTGAAGGAAAACATCGTGATGCAACCTGCACATATCTGAGAAAAAATTCAAAGATATGTGTGAAGTCAACCAATCCGCACTTGGCCAGCGTGGTTGACTATGGCCTAATCACCCTTAACTTAGGGTAGGATCCGGGCCCCTCGGTGGGGACGTATAGTGAGCTGATGATGAAATAATATTTTACTCTTTGTTGGCGCAACAGTTTTCGATCCTATAGATCTATTTATTATTCATTTCTGATGTCACCATATTATTTATGGTGTCACCTTGTACGCACACCATCCATGTTCTTTTGCGTTTTCCCTAAACCTCATCAATATTTAAGGTTATCCTTGTCTTATAGCATTCTCTGAATTAACAATATTCAATTCTTTTTGGATGAATAACATCAGAATTGAATTTTAAATCTATTTATCACTAAGCAGAAAAATTTTCTACATATTACTAATATTATAAATGCGAATGTTTGTATAGATGGATGGATGTTTGAATTTATCTCTAGAACGAATGCAGGGATCACGCCGACATTTAGCATTGTAGAACGTAGTCTGGAAAGACACGTAGGCTATTTAAGTTTTTTTTTATTCCGCGCGGACGGAGTCGCGGGCGACTGAGAGTTTGTTAATAAATTTACAATAGGATTAAGTTAAGATTTATAAACGTAGTTAGCTTAAGTCTGATCTTCAGTGGTTATATTGGCGTTATCTCTCAGACCACAGTTAGCTTAGAGAACGATACTTGCTGTTATAAATCAATTTATGACAAGAGTTGATTCTGTTCTAATCGAAGGATGATACCAGGTCTTTTGACTTATCGTCTTTGCTTTGTTTTAAATTATTTATTATATTTATCATCATCATCAGCTCACTATACGTCCCCACCAAGGGGCTCGCAGCCTACCCTAATTTTGGGGTGACTAGACCATAGTCAACCACGTTGGCCAAGTGCGGGTTGGTTGACTTCACACATATCTTTGAATTTCTTCTCAAATATGTGTAGGTTGCATTACGATGTTTTCCTTCAACGTAAGAACGTCGGATAAATGTACATATGTAAATCGGAAATGGAAAAACACATGGCGGGATTCGAACCCAGGACCTGCGGATTACAAGTCAAGTGTTGAAACCCCTGAGCCACCTACGCTCTTCGTAATATATTTATGTCTAGAACTATTTGTGTTTTGGTATTGTAAAAATGCTTCACAATTACTTTGGAATTTAAATAAGGAATCAATACGAGGTTTAATATGAATCTTAATAAAATCAAGGACCTCAGTACGAAAATTTGCGAGAGTATGTATTTGAACCGCGTATTTATCGTGCCTAAACTACAACGACAAATCTCATACAAATGATAAATTTTGTCGCAAAATTTCGTGGTAGGCCTGTCATATCTTTCGTTAGTGACTCTGTTGCTATTATCAAAGCTTGAAAGAAGACGTTGCAAAAACTAATATATGACCCCCGAACCATCAGGGATTTTTAACATAATTGAACTTTTTTTTTGATTACTCTCATCAAATAGGTTCACCATTGTTGACTTGGCTTTAGTTGATTAAGTAAAACGGCAAGCCAAATTACAAGCTCCGTGTTTCTAGAATTAAATAATTTAATAAAGTATCGCAAAGTATTCGAGTAATTTACAGAAGAGATTCCATTAAAGTTAAGTAGATTGTCTCTTACTTTGAGGAAAACGACTTCTTTTGGCGAATTGCAAACATTTGCCCAAATTTGTCTCTCAAGTTCTTTTACAATAAGGGACCTTTAAGAAGTAACGTTTTAAATTATTAGTATTTATTTTATTAAAACTGACTGACAAGGATCTGTATATAATATTTGGATTTTATCTGTAAAGAAGGTAATTCTAAAATTAATGCCTAATGGTTAAGGGTACGGATTACCGATCACTTGGGCGAGAGTTCGAATCCCGCCATTCGACTATTGTAAACCAAATCCTATCACAAGCCTAGAGCTTACTTGTACCATACAAGAAATATTAGTAAGTTAAGAAAAATCAGCTAATGTTTAAAGAAATAAGTTTTAAGTAGGATTTTCTGCGGTGGCAAATACTAGTGTAACTTTGGATTACTGTCGATTTTAGCACGTTACTGAACTGGTATAATTTACCCTAAGAACACTGCTACAAATTATTGCGGTGGTATATTGTTATGTTTATTTTTGGAAAAGGAATAGTGTGATGTATAGCTAAAAATCAGAAAATATTGGCATGATGATGATGATGGTGATGATGATGATATGATGAAATTCTTATCAATTAAATTTCGAAGTATAAAAGGAAATTCTACAACGTAAAATATATTCTCAATTCTACCAACATAAGATTCTTGTTCAAAACTGATGTTATTTCCCCCAAAGATCAAATTCACACCTGTGCCATCAATTTCTCGTTTTTCTTTGATATCGGTGACACTGATTCACGAGAATAATGTTGTTACGACATCAATTTGTTTTAGAGAGAGGAGGTGAATATATTTCATGCCGGGAATCCAAATGACTTTAGACGCAATGTTGAAAAATTACCAACATATTTGATGTCTGTAAATGTTGAAAATAGTAATTACTAGCTGTCGCCCGCGATTCTGTACACGCGAACTTAAAATAGAATATAATTTGTAGCTTATGTGTTCTTCTAGACTATGTTCTATATTAAACTGATATATAAACACGGCTAAACACTCACGTATATTCGTCCGGGGGCGGCACC